GCTCTCGATGCGACGATTCCAATGAGCCATTAATCGTCTTTCTACGATTACTGGATGGCGATATATTGCGTGAATATAGTAAATATATATGAAAACTCATCCGGATTCCGGTTCAAACCGGATATTTTCCATCCGGATCAAAATCCGGGTCAAAATCCGGATATCCGGATAAAAAAAAAATCCGGATTCATCCGGATTCATCTGGATGAGACAGAAACGGATCGAAGCACTAGATGGGAATTTGATTGTGAAATTCATACAATACTCAGAGACTGTGGACCACCTATTCAATAAGATTTGACCTAATTTCGAAAAAACTGAGTAGATATTATTATTATTCTTTTTATGCCGTAAATGACGATTTGAATGAAATTAAGTTAGTGTAGTGTAACCGTGATGTACTAAAAAAAAATATGTTCGTTATCGAACTAGAATGTATGTTTTTGTGCTTGTCTGTGGGATTCATAAAATAATAAATACGCAAATAAAATCATTAGGCTGAAATTTTTAAGTCGTACAGAAAATTAGTTAATTATATTCAATTTTTAAATTTAAACAAACTAAAAATTCAGGTTAGAAAAAAGTTGAAAGAAAAATATTTTATGCTAAAGTATATTGTTAAATTTATGGGAATCTTTTAAAAATCTACATTAACGGATATCCAACAGATATGTGATTAATTACGGAAAAAAAGGACATAAAAATTTAGTTAATTTTCGAATAGTACTCATATTAAAACAACATTTTTCTTTTTAAGACAAATATTAATAAACAAAAATTAGTGACTTGTACCAAAATCGAGAAATAAGTATAAAAAAACGAACAAGAACGAATTAGTAAGAAAGTAACGTTTCAATTTATTATATACAGTACATCTATTAATGTTTTTTTTTTTGTTTTACGCATAAAAAATTTTTCATAAAATAAGTTATACTTTAAAAAAAAAATTCTTGTAAATATTTTAATTTTTCAGTTACTCAATTTTAACTCACGTGATTAAGGATTTATATGGATCGACTGTTTACGTAAATTTTGTGAAACTAATTAATCTTCCGTACGACTTAAAAATTTCAGCCAAAATAATTTTCATTATTTTATTTACATATTTATTATTTTACCGCACAAAATAAAATTCCTCTTTTGGATGTGAAATTTTTTTTTCATTATATACAATTCTTTAAAAAGAAGTTGATAAAAAATATTTTATATAATGAATGAATAAAATATATTGTGAAATTTATGCGAACCTACGCCAACGGATATCCAACGGAATTATCGGAAAAAAACGACATAAAAATTTAGTTGGCCTCGAATACTACCCATAAACAATATTTTTTTTTTTTTTGACAAATAATAATAAACAAAATTAGAGACTTAGCACCAAAATCGAGAAATACAACGAGTATAAAACTATACAAGAACGAACAAGAACGAATTAGAAAATAAACAAAATTTATTATATACATCAATTGATGTTTTTTTTTTGTTTATTCATAAAAAATTTTTTCATAAAATAAGTTATACTTTAAAATTGAGAATTATTTTCCCTTTACTCAATTTAATTCACGTGATTAAGAATTCAGACTGTTTACGTAAATTTTGTGAAACTCAATCCGGAATTTAATAGACGTTCATCCTTTCATGTTTAAAATTGTATTTTAAATTTTATTATAGTATTATGGCTACTATTCGACAAGAAATAGTTTTGGCTGCAATTAATAGAGCATTTGCATTAGTAGAGCCTAATATTCAAAATAATTTGGAAAAACAACATGTATTTAGAAAACAAACTGTTCTTGCTGACAAATCTCTTACAGAGGGTGAAAAATCATATGCAGTAAAAATATTGAATAAAGGTTTTGATTATAATAAAATTCTTTATAATAAAGGAACAAAAAGAATTTGTGAAAATTGTCATGATGAATGTTTGGCTACATTATATTGTGAACATTGTATTCGAAATTATTTAAAAGAAAATTTTTCAAACTGGACATCTGGAAATAATGATATTGATAATTTAATACAACAATGTCAAATAAAAGCACTTAGACCAGAATTGATAGTAGAATGGATTCCTTATAATAATTTACAAAATATTAAATACTTAACTAAAGGTGGATGTTCTGAAATTTATACAGCAGATTGGATTGGTGGACGTTATGAGGAATGGGATTTAAAAGAAAAACAATTAAAAAGAGATGGAAGCATAAATGTAGTGCTCAAAAAATTAGAAAATGTTAAAAGTGCCAATAAAAGTTGGTTTGAGGAGGTATATACAAATAATTAAAAGTATTTTGAATTTTTTTTAAATTTTAATTGCAATTTTTTTAATTTTTGTAGGGTATATCTCATCTATACTTAAGTAGCAAAACTGGACTTATAGTGCAAAGTTATGGTTTAACTCAAAATCCAGATAATGGAAATTATATGATTGTAATGAATCATATGAGTTTTAATCTAAGAGAATATTTGCAACAAAATCATAATGAACTCACATGGAAAGAAAGAATTCAAATTATTGATAGTGTAATTGACGCAGTTTTGTCTATCCACAGAGAGAATGCAATTCACAGAGATTTACATTCTGGAAATATATTATTTGGTCAACTAAATCAAAGCTTTTTCGTCAGTGATCTTGGATTTTGCGGACCAGCTAATAAACCATTAGATTGCATATATGGAAATCTTTCATATATAGCACCTGAAGTTATTGTTAAAAAGAAATATACTTTTGCAGCTGATATTTATAGTATTGGCATACTTATGTGGGAAATCTCATCTGGACAACCACCTTTTAATAATAAACATGATTATGATCTTGCAATAAAAATAGTAAAGGGAATGAGACCAAAAATAATACCAGGCACTCCTTTAGAATATAAAGAATTAATGGAACAATGTTGGGATGCTAAACCTACGAAAAGACCTGATATTTACACTCTTTATTATAAAATAAAGGATATTTATAGATGGCATTGTCAAAATGAAAATGAACAAAGAATAATTAGTAAAATTATGACTATTAATAACTCTCGATTAAGTACAAGATTTAATGTAAATTCTAGTTCTAGTGATAGTTCCTTTTTTGGGAATTTTAGTGTAAATTCTAGTAATATGAATATTAGTAGTAGCGTTTATAATTTTGAAAATTTACCTGAACCAAAAAATGCAACAAAAGGTAAGAATTTTTTATTATACAGTTTTACTTTTTACAATATAATATTAATTATTCATTTTATTTATTTAATAGAAGAACAAGATGGTAATTTTTAAAATATGTTTAACTTAATATTGTTATTTTTTTACCATGTTAACTTTATTTTTATAGCTTATCATAGTATACAATTTGATTTTGATTTACAAGATGGTTTGATTATTGGTAAGATTAGCAAATGATATATTTTTTTAAAAAATTTCGACTTATAATTCTAATTTATATTCATTTATTTTTTAAATAAAATAGAAGAGAAATCTAATAAAAGAAGTTATTTTGATGGTAATAGCTCACTTTTAAATAATTATTACAATGCTGTAAATCAAATAATCAAATTTTTATTTATTATAATAAAATAGATTATGAAAAAGATTTAGCTTATTACTCTAATAAAAAAGTCAATTCAAATAATAATGAAGGTAATTATTATTGAAATTTTCATTTTTTATTTTTATCATTATTAATGTAATTAATATTAAATTTTAGAAATATGATATCATTAAATTGGATACTAATATATGCAAAGAAATCATTCTGCGAGTAAGATGGATCTTAACTATTTATTAAATTAGATTACTATTTATTTATTATTTTATTTAGGATTATTTAAACACTAAGACTAGAGTAATTGCAACTTTCTTAGTTTGTAATTTATATATATATAATTCATTTATTTATTTATAAACTTGTATACAATATATAGAATATGAATAAACTTATAATTTGAACAAGTTTATAATATTATAGATTTTTGCTATATTATTGAAATTAATTTGATTTTATTATAATATGATCGAAACTAGGGATGGCAACGGTCGGTCANTGTGAATTTTTAGTTCTTTTTCATTATATATGTAATCTTTACATCTATATATTCAATATTACGCAAAATATCTTCTTTGTTTAATCTTGTACTAATTCTTATTATTACCATTATGTCGACACACAACATATTATACTTTATGCGACACACGCATTTACACTTATGCGACACACGCATTTACGCTTATGCGACACACGCATTTATACTTATTTAACGGTGTTTCTTCTTATTTATTATCTTTTACAATTTAATAACCTATACTCGGCTTGCCTTTACCTTCACAATGAAGTATAGTAGTTTCAAGGTTTGCTATTCACATTTTATCATTTGACCAGCAAATATTCCTAAATTTCGCATTATTCCATAACGTTCATCTTCTTTTCGTGAGTTCAATTGCGCATTTTCCTAAATGCTTTCAGTTTTATCTGAAGAAGTTATACTCACGATGGTTTCTCTTTTTGCCTTGTGAATTCAATTACGCATTTTCAAAATGCTTTCAGTAGGGAGATGTTCCACTCACGTCTGAGTCCAGTTATTTCGATTCCCATCTGAAGAAGTTATATTCACAGCCGGTGTTTTTGTAATAGGTTCTCACGTAACCCTTGTGTTTTAAATAGGTTCCCACGCAACCCTTGTGTTTTGGTAATAGGTTCCCACGTAATCCTTGAGTTTATAGCTTACTCGTCAACTTTTCGTTACAACATTGTATCCCCAGGAACTTCTGGCATCTGCAAATTACAATGGTGCCCCTCCCAGAATACTACATCTTACGAGGGCTTCCTTAATTTCTCGGTTTTACAATTATTAGCGTGAAAACTTCAAAGACTACAACTTTTGTGACTTACTACAATACTTTCCGGATTTTCCTGTAATAAATCTATTATTTTGAAACGTGTTCATTATATTCCATCATATCACCGCATCCTTCTTTTTATAATTCCTAAGGTAGGTGTATAATATCGCTATTTCGCCCGTTCCCATTTTAATTCTAACACCTCTTTTTTCTGAGTTCAGATTCTTCGGAATACCACGTCGGTACCATGATCAGAGCGATCCTTCCCTTCGCGAGTGATCAATTCACTTAGTTGTTGACCGATTCCTCCTTAATACCGCATAGGTACTTGACTATAAGAAGATAGTCAAAATGTCGACGCAAAGTCAACATTTCCTTTCTCAGAGCATGCACCAAATTGTCACCCCCGTCTGCCACCTGGCGGTAAACAAAGTTCCCTGCTTCTGTTATATGTGCTCTCAGCGAAACATTAATATTCTTGCTTGGTTTAGTTTTATTACTACTTAACTTTCAAATTGTGATAGCTCTCGCCACGATATTTCATCCATTATCTTCTTTCAAAATACGATAGTTCTCTTTATAAAAGTTTATATTTTATTCATTTCATAATTCTTGTTATGACATTAAATTCACCATGAATTTGTCCAATTAAAATTAATTANCTTTGACCGACCGATATCGGTCACGGTCATGACCGGTCATAACCGGTTAATGACCGTGACCGTTGCCATCTCTAATCGAAACCAATTGCTAATATACTGATATTTAGTTAACTAATGTCCAAATCTTAAATTTCACGAAAATTACCAAATACTACTGTAGCGTCAAATGCATACTGTTTTATTTACCATACGAATATTTAGTCCAAAGGAAATTTTAATTGGATATAAAGCATTATAGAGTATTGTAGATTATGTAATGCAATAGTAATTTCTGCATATAAAGGTATACTACCAATTGATTAAATAAATAATAGTTTGTAAGAGTGATGTAATACTATTTACAGTTTTGTAATAATCTATATTAATTTGCAGTTAGTTTAGATGATATAATAGAATTTCATTATTTACTAATGTTCTAATACTAACTTATTAAGTTTAGTTTATAATTCAGTCCAAATCTTAATAATTAATTAATTTCTATAATAAAATATTTATTGAGAATATAATTATTAACAAGTAATATTTTTAGACATTAAAATTACATTATAAATTGTAGATGTTGTAAATATGAATATAAATGAATATAAGAAATACGTTTGAAAGAGTTAGAATAATTTTTTTTTTAAAAAAAAATAAGTATAAAAAAGTCTGCGCCCGCGTAAAAGTTTCATTAACTATTGTCTATTAATAAATTATTTATTTTTACTATTAATGTTAAATTATCAGAGCAAATTAATTATTGTCTGGAATATGAATGAATACCTATAGATTTTTAATGTTTATCAAATTTTTTGTTATTGGTCAAAATTACAAAAAATATTAAAAATATGTGATAAAAAGGTTAATTATAATATTAAATACTTTTTTTTTTTTTTTAAGAATAAAAACTCGATAGACTTAGTTTCCGCAGTAACCTAAAAAATAAATTATAAAGTAAAATTATCTAAAATTGAAGTATTCAATAAAATTAATTATTATAGACTTACAGGAATCTTAAAATTTTAAATGATATCATTTTAATATTATTTTAACATTAATATAATTTTGCTATAATTCCGATATTCATGATTCAGTTCTTATTTAAAAAAAATTATCAAACAGACTCTATTAAAAAATTATTAAATGGATCCTATTAATCTATCAAATGTACCTTTCAAAAATTATTAAATTTGCAAGTATTGTGCGTAAAATTAATATGATATTAGTATCCTAACAACTTATACTGTGTGTCCTAAACAATTACAGTGTTATTTATTATTAATAAATTTCTCAGAATAATTTGAAAGTTTATTAATAAATTACACTATTTTTTATTTTTATTGTCATACAGTATAATAGGAATAGTTAAAATATTAATAAAGGTAATAAACTTACTCAGAAAAGGACAAGCATATTCATTCACTTTTCGTTAAACTGTTATAAAAAGTAATTTATATAAAGTATATTTTAGTTCCGTTAAAGTATTTTTGTTAATATAAATGAGAAATATTTTTAATCAATAGTTTTTTAAAGCTTATTTAAAGTTAATTACAGCTTTAAAATTAATAGTATCATCGCTTTATTAAAACCTATTTAACTACAAGGATTAATAAATTTAATATCTGATTAAAAAGTAAAGTATATAATTCAAATATGCATTATAAATAAATTGAAGTATCTGATACTAACTTTCATTTTATCACGTAATTATTATTTCAACAATATTAAAATTCCATGTTATTAGAAACAATATTTTATTTATGGATTACTACTACTAAGTTCCTTTTTATGTGAATTTGATCCTATTGGATGAATTAAAAATTATTACTAGTAATATAAAAACGAATATTTTATTCCATATTTCAATATAATTATTACGAACAGATTATTAATTTTACATTTTGAATAAATATAATATAGTTCATAGTTCATATAAGTTAAACGATAAAATCATTACAATTTAAAATATTATCTAATATTATTCCTATTTATACTCTTATTCTTCAACTTTGATTGATATATTTTTTTTTTTGAAAAAATGCAATTTCCTAATTACTGAAAGGCAAAAAAAAAAAAAGAATCAACCTCTTTTTAAATTATAATTTATAATAAAGTGTAAATTTGTAAACAAATTTTTTAATGTTAGTTAAAAATTTTAGAATCTAATGATAAATAAAAATACATAAATATAAATTTTATAATTTTTAGTAACCAATAAACTATCAAATAGAAATTAATAATTATTTATAGTTTGGTGCTAGATTTATACTTTGCCTTTTGATTTGATATACTGATTTAAAAAAAATGAATAAATAAAAATAATTAATAGCTAGTAGTAATCGGTAATAAAAAAACAACTGTTATTATAAATATGACAAATGTTTATCATCTTTACTAATATTCACTTGAGAAATACCAAATTGCAAGGATTCTACACTAGTCGAAAAAGGAATATTCGGCCTTAGTAAAATTTGGCCTATATTCGACTAAAATTAAAAATTCGACCTTAATTAGCAATGATCTATGATTAGACATTGGTCGAATAACTAACCATGTTGGTCGAATAGCCGCGTCACATGTTACGCGTATCAAAAGTTTAAAAAAGAATCTTATGCATTCTTTTTTAAACTTTTATTTCTTCTTTTCCTCATCCTTTGGCTCTATAGGCGCGGAAAAAAACAAAAAAAAATAATTTTATTTTATTTTTTTTTAAATTTTAAATGTGGCCCTTTCCCTTTTCGTAGTAATTCTATGGGAATGCCGGTCGAAACTACGCACCGGACTTTGGATAATAAGGTAAAT